AAGGACTCTGATTCATAAGCTAAAGTTTTCCCACCCTTCAAGCTAATTTTTTGGGTCTAAACAGCGGAAAATAAAAGAGACTGTTATCTGAGCTGCTAAGTCAGCATAACCTACTGATAATCGCACGTTTGCGGTGTAACGTCTTTTTTTCTAAAAACTGTATTGGTCTCATAGACCATTGAATCGAAATCAAAATAAGCATGACCGAATGTGTCGAAATTACGAAAGGGTTTAAATATACATTTGATATTTTGAACAGAAACCTTCTGCTTCAAGTTTTGCAGTTGAGTTAGATTATGGAATCATTGAATATAACTCATGAGTCGAATGTATATAGGCAAACAATCTCAAATCCCTTCAACGACTTATATCTTTTTTTAAGATTTAGTAACACGCAGAAAGAATTGGATTTAATCAGTTAGAAGAAAAGTAATACAAAAAGAAGTAGAAGGGGTATTCCTCAGAAGCAGGAAGCTTGAACTTACCTCAGCAATGCAAAATAAGACACAGAACAGCACTAACGACTTTCGTTGCATTCTGAAAAGCAAAGATAAATGTGTGCCAAGAGAAAAAATGAAAAGAAGTATGTTTTTAAGAGACATGTCATTGCCAGTTGCAATGAAATCGTGTGGACTACGGTAAGACGGAAACATCGCTTATGTTCTAGTGCCACCAATTCGGCTGAGTGTTAAATAGGGCCCGCAGTGCGGGGGGCTGGACGCCGGTCCGCGCATGCTTTAACGCATGAGGTTCATGGTTCAAGGACCAACTCAGGACAGATAAAGGCTATCGTTGGGAGACTGTTACAGCTCTGAACCTGATATAGAACAGCGAGTGCAGGATTAAAGTGCAAAAATTAACATGGGCATGATAACTATTTGAGATAAGATGAAGAGTATTTTCAAGGTTAATCTCAAATCTTTGGTTTAATATTTGCTAAGACAACTGCTAAGCGATTCTAGGATCGGAAATAGACGTGGCATAGTAGCAACATAGAAATGAATTCAGTTGGTTGGATGGTACAGTGTCGAATCTCTTGTTCCCGTAGGATTTAGCAGGTGTCAATTCCCCAAGCTCCACTCTTTTGTTTCGAAGGAACGTTGCGTTTAGCAAAGAGATTTAGACAGCGTTGGAGGAATTTTTTAGTAGTTAAACTGTCCACTTTGAAAGCTTAAGATGTTCAAAAATTCAAAGAAGCTGTTGCACACTCATTGCCCCAAACTTTCAAAACTTAGTTTTACCATGTGCAGAGATGTGCTTTGTTATGATCACAAAAGTCATACTCACTGTGTACGCTGTCTCATTGTAGGCCTATGGAGGCATATGGTATGAAGTCCTTATCACTAGAAAAGTGCTCTAGTAGGTTTTCTTGGGCGTGCTCACAGAATTAGGTGGTGCATCTAGCTACACAATTACGAAAAGAGCAGGATTGATTGACTCTTAGAGGCCATTTCTAAGGATACCAATCTTAGCCAAAGAGTGGCTCCTAAGTGTTACGATTTTCATGATCAGGATGTCAAATTACCCTAGTAACCAGAGCTTCAGTGAAATCGAAAATAAAGAAGTTCTCTGGCGCTGGATGTGAATTTTCAAACTTATGCGATTGGACAATTTGACTATAAAAAGCTTCCAATGCTCTCAACTATTCCGAGTATCAAATGCTAATGCAGACACATGTGTGAAGTAAAAAAAAACGGCAACACTGTGGGAGATTCAGAACTTCTACATGTACCGGAAGGTAAGCCATTTGCCCCTGTACCATCCACCCTATTGAGATTATTTTCATATTGCTGGTATGTCAAGTCACTCGTATTCGTCGACTTACCTTCATAATTTTTTTTCAGGATCGCTTAACACGTAGATAGAATGAATTTGAGATTATTTTTGAAAACCCTTTACTATAGTACTATACATCTTAACTTAAACACCGACCTAGCATTAACCCAGTAAGTTGAAGACTGGATTTAACTGTCAAAGCAGAAGACACAATTTTGATCCTTGTCTCCGTATACGGGAGGAGGAGGGAGAGGGGAGGGGAGGAGTGAGAGGGTGGAATGGATATAATGAGCTATTTAATGCACAACATTCACCTTTTGCTTCTTCTCAAAATACACCGAATTCATAAAAAATTGTCAATTTTTCCGATATAACTTTGAGGGCCAATTACTGATCTGTGCAAGAAGTGCTTTAAGTCACTCCGAAGAATATCTCTTTCTTCTTCAAAATCAAAAAAAAAAT